TGGAGCAGGGACAGGAGCCATGGTTCCTCGACCTGCAGGGAGCAGAGAGGACAGAGACGCCAAGGACCTCCAAGACAGGTGAGACTCAGGCCCTGTCCCAGAGAAGCCCTAGGGTGAGGAGAAACCACAGGTGGGGCCTTGCAACAGCGGGAGACTGAGGCTGGGTCCTGGTAGCCATTCCGGACTGCCTGGGAACACCATTGTGGAAGAAGGGGCTGGCCCATGGAAGGATGCATAGATCAGTTGTGGGGCTGCCTCAGGAGGAAACAAATCTCAGAAAAGCCAGGACACAAATTACCCATGTATTTCAGCAAAAACAGAGTTTACTTTTGAAATCATACCATATTTTGTTCAATTTCTGATTTTACTAATACTCTTATTAAGCAAGGGTACAAATCTTTGGATCCAAGTGAAGCATTAAACTTCGCTCTCAGCAGCTTCTCCTCAAGTAAACATACTCCCTAAGGCAGATCCCTCCAGAGCTTCTTAGGGCCCAGGTGACCCCAGCCTCTCAGCTCAGGCTTAGGGGTGCATTAGTCTCATGAGGCTTCTGTAACAATATATCACAAAGTATGGGGCTTAAAACAACAGAAACTTGCTGGGGGAGGTGGCTTATGCACGTAATCCCAGCACTTTGGGAAGCTGAGATGGGAAGATTGCCTGAGCCCAGGGGTCTGAGACCAGCCTGGGCAACTTGGTGGAACATCGTTTCTACAATAAGCATCAAAAAATTAGCTGGGCATAGTGGTATACACCTGTAGTTCCAGCTACTTGGAAGGCTGAGGCTAAAGGATCACCTAGAGCTCAGCAGGTCACTGCTACATTAGCTGTGAGCATGCCACTGCACTCTAGCCTGGGCAACAGTGAGACTCTGAGTCAAAAAAAGAGAAAGAAACCAACAACAAAAAAGCAGAAACCTATTGTCTCACAGTAGTGGAGGCCAGAAGTCTGAAATCAAGGTGTCAGCAGGTTCTTGTTCTTTTAAGGCCCTAGGGCAGGCTCCTTTCTTGCGTCTTCTAGCATCTAGTGGTTTTCTGGCACTCCTTGGCGTTCCTTGGCTTGTAGATGCATCACTCCAATCTCTGCCTCCATCTTCACATGGCTGCCTTCTCCCTCTGTGTCTCTTTTCACTTGGCCATCTCTTCATAAGGACACCAGTCATATTGGATTAGGGACCACCCTAACGACTGTGTTATTACCATTTACATCTATACTGACTCTGTTTCCAAATAAGGTCACATTCTGAGGTGCTTAGAATCGGGACTTCAGTCTACTTTGGTGGGGTGGCGGGGGGTGGGGAGCTTAGTCAGCTCCAGCCAGGACATCTGCTGCTGCCTCTAGCCTGAGCTCCCAGTAGGCAGATGCCTTGTCTGAGCACTATGCTTAGCCTGCTGTGCAGACACGTTGCCCAGTTTGATGAGAGAAATGGCTTTGCACACATCTCAGTGGCAGAAAGGAAACCCCTCCTCTCCACTGGCTGCTGTGTCCCCATGGTCACTACTGCAGCAGGGCTGGGCCTGTCCCTACAGAGGCCACAGTCTTGCTATCTGAAAGCAAATGCAGCAGTCCAAAATTGTGAAAAGTTAAGTATTGTGCTCTTCGTCCATACATATGTCCCTAAGCTGCTTGGAAGGGCCAAGATGGATATTTATTAAAAGAGGACTCTTGAACCTCTTTATACCCATGGGCATCACAGCCATCAGGTAAGGTGTGGTGTGTGAGATTAGTGGGCAGGAGCCCTTGACCACATCCCCCAGCCTTTTTGGCTCCACTGGCCCACCCACATTATCCCTCTGTGTAGCCTTCCTGTTGAGGTAAAGCTATAGGGTAGCCCAGTTAAAACCCAGCCCCTACTAAACTATTTCCAAGGTGGAAAGGAGATTTTAAGCAGCACACCGTGGCAGAAAAGCCAGCTATAGTATGTACACAGATAATTCACTGGGTTTTTATGTAACAAGGAGTCCTCATCATGATAAAGCAACAACAAAAAAGTAATCCTGTAGTGAGGTGAGACCTCACTGTTGATGCACCCAGCATTCACTTGCCAACCTGAGACTGCAAGGTGGGAATGCAGCCTCTTAGATTGAAATATGTGGTAGCACAAAACCAGAATAACATTAAGTAAGGTGGAAATGCCTAGATATGTTATTTACACCCAACTGGTGCAGCCAGCATCAGATATCCAAGGATATTGACCTAGAATGGCTGGGGAGAGGACAAGGTCTCAGCTGTGCCCTCCCACACCCCTGCCCACCTTCATAGCTCTTGATGGTGGTTCCTGGCACCCCTGAGAGGCCTGTCAACTTGGCCCCCGCTTTGCCTCTGCTCTTCAGCAAGATACGTGTTCCTCACTGAGAGCCAACCACTTCCAGAATGAGGTTTTTAAATAAGTACTTGCATTTTCTCAGTGGATGTCCAAAACTTGCTGGAGAAGGGCTTTCATGCTCCAAGGAAGGGGAGAGAACCTTGGGCTTTAGTTACAGGTCTCTGGGGGGCTGCCATGGGGAAGGCTATCAGTGGTAATTATGGACAGAAAAAAATGGGCTGAGCAAGCCAAGGCCACACAAGAGGCCAAGGGTTGCTGAGAGAGGTGGCTGAGGCTTGTTCTGCAGGGGGCTGGGCAGTGGCCTGATGTTGTGCAGGGAGGTGATGAGGTTTTTGGGGGTATTTTAAGATTGGAAAATATTCATTTAGAAAGTAAATTAGAGAGAGAGAAGAAAGCAGAGATAGAGGGAATTCACTTCCCCAAGGTGGGGGAGGGGGCCAAAGCTAGGAAACATGGCAGCCATAGCACAAAGAAACAACAAACACACACCAGAGTTTAACAAAGCAGTGGTGGGTGATGAGATCTTTAAAATGTAACCCAAGTGTCTCATAGACATAGTCACAGGGAACCAGAGGGAGAGAAGCTTGAATGAAGTCAGGTGGGTCTGTGATACCCTCATCCTTTGGTCAGCAGTGCTATTGGCTGCAAACTGCTTAACCACATAGAAATGTTATCTGCATGTGCAGCAGAAGGCTCCAGGCAGTACTGACTAAGCAATGCCAGGGCTGTACTGTGCTTTCTCTGAGTTCTCCTTAGGGGCCTCCATGTTCCAGGCAGGGGGCAGAGGAGGAACAGTACTTGCCCCATGTCTCAGTGCCCTGCTTTTTCATCTCCATAACAGGAATGCTCAGAAGGAGCTGAGCAAGCCCTGTTAAAGGTGCAGGTTTGCTGAGGTTGTGTGGTTGTGCAAAGGAGAAGCGGGTGAAGACCAGGCCTTTGTGTCCCTGCTGCACAGTGAGGTTGAAAGGGCTATGTGGACACAGACCTGAGCATGTTGCTGATTCTCTCACTATATGTGTGGACCTGGGCAAGCTGCCTAGCCTCTGGCCAGTCTTATCTATGGAGTGGGGAATCTATAGACCTCACTGGATTGCTGAAGACTAATGGAAGAAGGACCAGAAATTGTTCCTTGTACACAGAAGAGGCTCAGTTGATGGTAGCCCTCTGCTCCCTGTAGGACTGACAGGAAGACCTTTGCAAATCACTGGAAGCTAAAGACTCACTACAGATCATTAGGAGTGGGCAGGAACCAAGAGGCTGAAGACCTGTAACTGGTTATGAATTCACTGTGCGGTAGACTTTGGCAGGTTATGGCCATTGCCATATGACTGTGGTCATGAACATGGTGGTGGTGATGACTGTAGTTGTTCTGCAGTGGGGACTATGGTGGTGGTGTGTGTCATGGTCATGACCATGGTTGTATTATGGTTTTGTCATGGTGGTAACTTGTGGTTGTGACTGTCGTAATGGTCATGTCACGGTGGGGACCATGGTTGTGTGTGGTCCAGTTCTGTGGGCATGTCGTGGGTGTGACCACAGACATCAAGAAGACATCTGGCCTCAGTGAGGTGCTCTCTGGGGTTGCAGAATAGGAAAGAAGCCTGAGTTTATTTGGAGAGTTCAGAAGGAAAGCAGGTGTCAAGAAGGCTTCCTGGGGGCAGGTGGGAATAGTCCCCTCCAGAAACTTGCAACCCCAGGGAAGAAGTCAGTGTGGGCTAGGGGATGTGGCCACTTAGAGCTGAGGAACTAGGAAGGGACATGGCTAGGTTCAATTTGGCATTAGTAGTTTGGAGGTAGCTATAGAAAGCTGATGTTCTACTCAGAGAAGTCCACCCCAGTAAACTCCTGTGAATAGTCTAAGCACCCAGTGCTCTTCTGGGTTTAACCTGGGCAAGCCTCTCGGCAGCTCTTTGACCTCCATCTTCCTCATCACTGCTCTTGCCTTCCATTCACAGTTCAGACCTTCCCTCCACTCCTGTTGTCCATCACCAGCTAGGATGCTGGAAGCCTCTAGCCCCTCAGCCTAATCTTGGTAAACCTCCCACCCTTTCAGGCTCACTTTGTCTAGCCTTACTTGCTTCTTCATGGACTTTGCCTCACACCAGTTTCCTGTAGGATGGACCTCTCTACTCACGTACTCCCACTTTAGGATGTGTAGCTCTAAGCACTCTGCTTAGTGCATAATGAGAACTTCATTGTTGAATGAATGAACAACGTAAAGAGTATGCATGAAACCAAATTTTGAGAACTGCCAGAGCATTGCCTTCTCAAAGCATATTTTCACTTGGGGTGTATTGTAGTGCTTGATGCAGCCTGTTCTGGGAAGTGATGACCACATTCCCCTCACATTGGTAGTCTTTGTTTTTTTTGTCTGAGCACAGAGCATAAGGAACATTTTTATTTCCTGTTTATTTCAGATTCTACAATTAAGGCTGACAGTGAGCAGACCTGTGAGGACATGGACATTCTAAAATCAGAATCCAATGGAACAATGGTCAGAATATCCCCACAGGACTTTCTTCAGAGTCCTAGCTTTGGAGATGTTGCTGATTCTGAGGCCTGGTTACAGAATCATCCAAGCAGTCCTGAGTTGAGAGTGATGGGCTCTGTCTTTCAGAAAAACCATTTGAATGGGGAGACTGTGGCTTACAAGACCTTCACCAAGGATGCTACCCAGGGACATAAGGAGCTGGGAGGCAGTGGCTTAGATTGTCAACCTAATAAAAATCAGAGAGAGAATACAGAAGGGACTTCCCAGAGATGTGAGGGGTGTGGCAAAGGTTTTGAATCCACTTCAGACATTGCTCTGCATTGGGAAATGAATACGCAGAAGAAACCTAACAGATGTCAAGAATGCCAAAAAAAGTTATCTGACTGCTTGCAGGGCAAACATCCAAATAACTGCCATGGAGAGAAGCCATATGAATGTGTGGAGTGTGGGAAAGTCTTCAGGCTGTGCTCGCAGCTTAACCAGCATCAGAGAATCCACACTGGAGAAAAACCATTTAAATGCATTGAGTGTGGAAAAGCCTTTCGCCTGAGCTCAAAACTTATTCAACATCAAAGAATTCATACTGGCGAGAAGCCCTACAGGTGTGAAGAATGTGGAAAAGCCTTTGGTCAGAGCTCAAGCCTTATCCACCATCAGAGAATCCACACAGGAGAGAGGCCCTATAGTTGTCGTGAGTGTGGAAAAGCCTTCAGTCAGCAGTCACAGCTAGTCAGACATCAGAGAACTCACACTGGGGAGAGACCCTACCCATGTAAGGAGTGTGGGAAGGCCTTCAGCCAGAGCTCAACTCTAGCTCAGCATCAGAGAATGCACTCTGGGGAGAAATCTCAAATCCCAAGAGCCTCAGATAATCCAAGCCTTGTTGCACACCAGAGAATTCACACTGTAGAGAAACCATTTAAGTGTGATGAGTGTGGGAAAGCTTTTAGGTGGATCTCTCGCCTTAGTCAGCATCAGCTAATTCATACTGGAGAGAAACCTTATAAATGCAACAAGTGTACAAAAGCCTTTGGTTGTAGCTCACGACTTATTCGCCATCAGAGAACTCACACTGGAGAAAAACCATTTAAATGTGAGGAGTGTGGAAAAGGCTTTGTCCAGGGCTCACACCTTATTCAGCATCAGCGAATCCACACTGGAGAGAAACCCTATGTATGTAATGACTGTGGAAAAGCCTTCAGCCAGAGTTCCAGCCTTATTTACCATCAGAGAATCCATAAGGGGGAGAAGCCCTATGAATGCCTCCAATGTGGAAAAGCCTTCAGTATGAGCACACAACTTACGATACATCAAAGGGTTCACACTGGAGAGAGACCTTATAAATGTAACGAATGTGGGAAAGCCTTCAGTCAAAACTCAACCCTTTTCCAACACCAGATAATTCATGCAGGAGTGAAGCCCTATGAGTGTAGTGAATGTGGAAAAGCATTCAGCCGGAGCTCGTATCTTATTGAACACCAAAGAATTCACACTAGAGCCCAGTGGTATTATGAATATGGGAATACCCTGGAAGGGTCCACCTTTGTGAGCCGTAAGAAAGTTAATACTATAAAGAAACTGCATCAATGTGATGACTGTGACAAAATATTCAGGTGGCGTTCGCATCTAATTATACATCAGAGAATTCACACCGGAGAGAAGCCTTATAAATGCAGTGACTGTGGCAAAGCTTTTAATCGGAGCTCAAGGCTTACTCAGCATCAGAAAATTCACATGGGATAGATCATTAACCTATATAAATGTATATAAATGTGAATAAACCTGCAGCCTTAACTTTATTTCATATGGGATCATTTATACTGATAAAAAAAAGTAGAATGTAGGGAAAGATTTCAAATTGCTCTCAAGAGTATCCAACTTCATACAAAATGTATGTTTATTTGCTGGAATGTTTGACTTTAACTTGTTCAATAAAGCCTGTGTTCCTCACACCCAGGGTGCAATCTGCAGAGTTTTGAGTTCAGAGGGAAGGCTCCAGGTCCCTGTGATAAGGAAGAGATACAAGGAAGACCCAGCAGGTCAACGCTGGGGTGGCCGTGAGTGTGCCACTGCACTCCAGCCTGGGAGACAAAGTGAGACTCTCACTCAAAAAAAAGTCTCAGCCTGAAACACAAACTGCCAAGAAGTGTGAGTGTCTGAAATTTAATTTTATCCTTTCTATAAGCTAACAAAATCCAGTCACTGTTTCATCTGGCAGATTACTCACAGCAGTAGTTAGAGTCATGTTGGTTCCCCTTTTTCACCATGTCTCGGCACAATGCAGAGTCCCAGCAAGTTCATGCAGACTGGATTTGTGTTATCCAAGAAACTGGGGACCAATACCTCACCCCTCATGTTTTTTGCTGCCAACAAAAAATGGCCCAATAGGAGCATGGTAACTTGGGTTCTTGGTGCACACAGTAGGCATGTGTAAGAAAGCTCAGCCAACAGCAGGTCACCTCCCGTAATCTGTTTGAGGCCTGATGCTTTTCTGACTGAAATTGAATTTCCACACAAGTTTGCCGTTCCATCAGTCACACTGGTTAATCTGACCAGTAAGTTGGGACCATGTCCATTTGATTTTCTCACAGCATCTAGTTACTGCCACCATCCCTGTGCAGCAGCTTGAGGCTAACTGCAGGCCCAATCTCACCCTGCTCCCGTGGTCGTGGTCATTCAGCTATGAATGGGTTCCAGGGGGACCAGTCAGCCTTGTTTTCGACACTCTATTACCCATTATGACCCACATGAGACCTGCTGACCTTTGGTGTTACTGCCAGTAATTACAGGGCAGTATACTTGGGCCCCAAAGACCCCCATTCCCAACGGAGAGACACTTGGTGGCCCCTTTCTCCAACATACGAATGTATAGCCCAGAGGGGGCACAAGTCATATCAGGGTTTGTTGTGATCATTGGTTTGGATCATGCCACCTTGGTTTGGTTGGGCACCATGGCAGGGTCACTGAGAAAGAGGCTAAATCACAATAAATGGCATAATCCAAGGCAGATTATGAATTTGTATTAGATTGAAACAAGTACTGGTCCATGTGTATACAGGTTCCAGAGTTTTCGCTGGTAGCATGGGGCAGAGCAGAGCCCAGGATGGTTGTGTCTACTTAAGTTTCTGTCCTCACAGTCTATGGATGGGGATCTGAACCCCACAGTGGGTCCGAGTGACTACCAGCTGCTTATGCTTAGCTTGGCACACCATAAGTGTGTTCCCAGGCTGTTGTGCTCCTTCCAGGGACAAAACTCTATCATCCCCCACCTGTACCTTCTGGGGGTGAGGGAACACCTTACTGTGTGCCAGGACAGTGGCATTCACCCTGGTTGTGAATCAGCGCGTAGCTGCAACTTTTCCTCTTTTCCAGTCAAGCCCTTCTCATACCTAGAACTTTTGTACTCCATAGAGTATGTAGACAACGTCCCCCACCTTGGCCTATGTGGCTGCTTAGAGGGTCTTGGTCACCTTCAGGCCCTAGTTTGCCAGCCCCTGACCTGGGACCATGTCAATCCGAAGAGAGAATCCAGATGTTGAAGCAGAATTAAGTTTGAATCCTCTGGCCCCTTCTTGACTGGTTGTTGTTAGGAGAAGGTTGTATTATGCTCAGGGCAGAATCTGGAATGTCCAGAACAGTTCACAGAATGTTCCACTCATCTTATCTTGATTATGAACCAGGAAGTAGCCAAGGAATGACAAGAGACCACGAGGAGGCAGGGTCAGAACCTTTGTGAGCAGGTGAGTTGGAGGCCAGGACCAGGAGCTGCAGGTGGTGGGATTATGGCATGCCATGATTCTTGTCCCATTGTTGGGTGGCCCACAAAGCCTAAAACATTTACTGCCCTGTGTATAATGCTCTTTCTTTTCCCGAACATCAATCAGCCAAAAATAGATCCAGAGGATTCAAACATTTCTCCAGCACCTGGATTCTCTCTTTGAACTGACATGGTCCCAGGTCAGTGGCTGGTGAACTCAGACCTGGGTGTCTGTTTCATATGGCCTGAGAACTAAGAATGGTTTTTGCATTTCTAAATAGCAAAGGGGGGGAAGAAAACAAAACACTTGTGATATCTGAAAATTATGTTAAGCTCAAATTTTCAGTATGACAGTGTCTTTGGACCTGGCTATGCCCATGTGCAAGCCTCTGTGGAGCCTCTGGCCACCTTCCTGCTGTAGCACCAGCATTCACACACCAGCTGACTTGCCTCTTGAACTGGGAACATCTTCATGCACTTCACCCACTGAGGAATTATTTTTCCTCTCAGCTCTTAGTGGTTTGTTCACTGAAATGTCACATTACAGACTGGGCACAGTGGCTCATGCCGTAATCCCAGCACTTTGGGAGCCCAAGACAGGAGGAGGATCAATTGAACCCAGGAGTTCGAGACTAGTCGAGGCAACATAAATGAGAAAATGTTTTAAAAAATTTTTTAAGCCAGGCTCAGTGGCTCAGCCTGTAATCCTGCGCCTTTGGGAGGCTGAGGTGAGTGGATTGCCTGAGCCC